TTGGCCGGAGGAAGATGAGGTATGAAATTTGATAATGTAATGGGGTGTATACCTTATTGTTTATAGATTTTTTTTTGGAAACACGTGATAAAAATAGTGAATTTTAGTAGGAAAGAGACATGAATGATGCAACGAATCAAAAATCAGCCTTATGAACCAAAATCAAGTACCTGTTACCTTGTGAAACAATATTGTTTCTGGTAATATGATGATGTGGAGTAAGTTTTATAGAAACCGCATTATAGAAAATCGAATAAAAAATCGCCTATCCCGCCGGTTTTCGGGAAATGAGCATCTCACAATCGTTGGTAGCTTTTACTCAGCCCGTTTGGCCGATTAATTTGCTTTATAAAACTTTTATCTTGTCATCATCGTGCTTTCTGGTTTTTTGCCAAGCCATGATAAAATCTAAAGAAATCAAGAATGAACAACACGATTTGGGATAGGAACCACCGTTCCTGTATCCCTAGAAAATGGTGATAAACACGGACTCACCTACCAAACTGGTTTGGATTGAGAATTTTATCGGGTATCAGGGAACCAGGTGATTATAAATTAGACTTGATCAAAACGGGCCAAAACTTGAAATTCAGCCTTTTTGACCGACCCATGCCAAACTCTAATTATTCTTTACTTTTAAACTTCTATTTGAAAATAAAAAATAATGAAAGAAAAGAGATGACTGCAATTCGCCATTTGCACATCACTAATTCGGGAATAAAACTATAGAATTTCGAAAGGAAACTGAAAATGTTTAGGATCGTTTTTAATGTTAAAAATAACCAAATAGATCTTTCTGTTTATTTTTTACTAACAAATACCAAACGATTCCCTATAATATACACTATAATTTAATCATTATGATATCAAATAATTACATAATATATATTTGAAATGATAAAAACGGACTAATTGGGTTGGTCGAGGTTGAACCATTGAATAACTTTAAAATACATTATGGGTTCGTTTGTAGAACAAGATTTAGGATATGGATTCACTGAATCCGTAGATTTTGTAGAAAGTTATGTTTTTTTGTTGCTTTCTGTATTATGGATTCTAGCTTTAGAAATTTCAAATCTCTAAAATCTGTGGATATCAAATCTCTCATAATCAGAGAGATTCTATATCTTGATTCGTGAGATTTTTTCCTCTCCTAATTTTTCTCTTACTTCTATTTATTTAACACATGAAATATATCTATCAACAAATTTTTTAATATTTCTTGAACCACTCTAATTTTTTTTATTAAAGATACAAATTTTATTTAATATAAAATTAATTTTTTATTTTAATTGAATGTTAACAATCACAGTTACCAAACAATAAGCATTTTAAAATATGTTTTCAACAATCTGGAGAGTTAGAATCTTTAGATTATTGACAATATGTAGATTTAAACTCATATTCTCCAAACGACCCCTATATTTTAGCCACTAAGATATAAAATAATAGCATAATATATATTATGCTAGAGAAAATAGCTTGTTTTAGAATGGCAAACCCATGATGTTCATTTGTCTTACTTGATGGGCAAATCCCGTGTAGGTCAGGCCCATTCAACTCTTTTATTTTATGATTAGCGGTTAGCCCATTAGAATCCATGCATTAGTTTATTGTTAAATTTTTTTCTTTTTAGCAATAAAAAGGAGTATTGTTTTTGCCTTTTCATATATATTTTACCACCACGGAGAAATAAAAGGACTTAAAGAAAAAAATTGACACTCCTAGACCCGTTTAAATCCGCATGTGTACGGTAAGTTGGCCCGTTCCAGAGAGGAAAAAGAAAAAAATTGACACTCCCTATTCTACCCTTCCTACAAACGCTCCTGGAGCAGGGAATTTGAAATGGCGGAAGAGTTTTTCCTCTCTGCGATTTTATGTTTTTAATTTAAAATAATACAACAAATGTACTTAGTGTGATTGGTTATAATCTTCGCGGCCCAATTTTTTTATGCGTGGCAGCTCCAAACTTGTAAACCCTAATGAAGCCGCAGTTCTCTCTTCCACTCCCACTCCCTTAAATCGCAGAGAAAAACGCTTTGGCCTCTGAGATAGCTTTCGCCACCGATCACCGCCGGTACAAAGGTCAGTTATTCTCTTGAAAAAGCTTTCATCTTTCAAGTTAGATTTGTCTCTGAAAACTGTAGGTGCTGACTCCATGCTTCATATATCTTTATGTCGACTGCGATTGAATTTGTAAGGGGAAGCTATGTATTGTTTTCTTGTTTCATCAAGCAAAGAGTTACGTTTGGATGTGTTCATGGTGAAAGTATAAGGTTACCGGTTGTGGGAAATTTGTTATTTGCTTTCAATCTAGTTGGTTTCAAGTATTTTGTTGATTGATGTTCTTATGAACAAGATCCTAAAGCTAGAGTGCAGTTTTGGTGCCATAATTCTCTGGTCGTTTCAATGAAATCAATATATGTCTGTTCGATGTGCGGTGGTAGACGGTGCATTGGTAAACGTTTGTAGTTCCAGGTTTCGCGGAGCGGAGAGCGAAGTGGATGAGACTTGTTTCACATTGGGGAGATCAAGGAGGCCCTGGAATTCATTAATGGTGTTTGATGAGAATGATGGCGTGGCGCTCAGGGAAGAAAGAAGAGTTTATTTTTGGAGGAACGGGTGAAAACTGAAAAGAAAAAAACCACCGCAATTGCGGTTATGGAGGAAAAGTCCGGGAGCAACATGAGGGTTTTTTTTTTAAAGAAGACAGAAGAAGAATGAATAGGCTTGATGAGAGATAAATCCCATGAACAAAAAAGAGGATTAGATTTGGTGGTTAAAACAGTGGAGATTTTGAAAAATATAAATAAATAATAGAAAAACCAATCCGAAACTTGCGGGGAAGCTTTCTCCAAGAAAGCGCTTAATATATTTATGTAGATAGATGTAGATGTAGATGTAGATAGATGTAGATGTAGATGTAGATAGATGTAGATGGATGTAGATAGATGTAGATGTAGATATACCATATTTCTCGACCAAATTGTTCCGGTCAACGGTCCAGGTCCTGTGCTAGTATATTATAAAGGGATTGTAGATTTTCCTTATTGGACTAAGATTGCAAGTACGCTGACCAAAAGAGCCAAACCCAGCCCAACTGGGAAAAGTTAATCCGCTAACTTGAAGATTCGTTAGCAGATATTAACTGATATCCAAAATACATGAACTAATATCCAAGTACTAAAGTATCTAGAGAGCACAGACTAGTTTTCAAAGTTTGCTAACTGATATCCACCATGAATCAACTATTATCCCAAATTCACAAACTAATATCTAGACAACACAGAATAGTATCCAAACAACACATAGTTAGTATCCAGATAACACATAAGAGTATCCAGATAACCCATAAGAGTATCCATATTGAATACTAGTTGGTTGATTGTGGATATTAGTTGGTATCTGCTATCTGGATACTAATTTGTGATGTTTTGAATACTAGTCTGTGTTATCTAGATACTTAGCAGACTTGGATATTAGTTCATACATTTTGGATATTAGTTAGTATATACTAACGAATCTTCAAGTTAGCAGAATAACTAGGCTGACCCAACTCAACACTTCCATATCATTTCTTCGTCTCCTTTGTTTTCTCAGCTAAGGAAAGCCCAATCTAAGAACTTCTCAAATTTCAGCAAGTTCATATCCAAAAGGAAATTAAGAAGTTGTTTGGATGAATTAAATGTCAATGTGGTATTTGTAGGATCACATAATATATATTAATTGTCCTATTCTGATCCGCTTCTAAATCTTCCAAGGCCTCCGATATACCAAGTTACAATGTCATCTTTTTCTTCGAAGATGTACCTTTTGGAATGTCGACGAATGTTCCGACGAATTCCCTGTATAGACTCGTAATCGTACTGTCCACAACGTTAACGTAAACATCAAACTTCACGTAATCATTTGCTTTCACGTCAATTCCTTCTACGATCAATATCTCTTCCAGTTCTTTTTTATTTCTCCGATTCCTGCACCAAGCCTCTCTCGGTCGGTCTATCGGAATCGTTACGGTCGAATCAAGAACGCGACTGGTTGGCCCGAAACGTTTGCTGGGAAGGTCAAGAACACCCCCTCTCTCTCCGGATTTCTCGCCGAGCGACTCGGGTCGAGACCGAGGGCTCCGGCCGGGCGGTGAGCTAGGCGTTTTCGATCACCTCGCACCGGTACCGGAGCTTGTCCATCTCCACCACGTCGCTGAATCGGATCCGAACCAGCCGGAGCGTCTCGTCATAGAAGTAGGTGTAGGAATTCAGGAACGCCGGGTCGTCAAAACCCTTGTGGGTCGCGCTCCACAATCCCACAGGCGGTCGCCGTTGGAGTGGTGGGCATAGAAGATCGGATCTCTCGCCGTGACGTGGAAGGCGCCCATGTACATCAGCGCCAAATTGAGTTGGATCTGCTCCTCCGGCGTAGATCAGGTTGGATCCAGCTTCTTGAAGTTCAGGTCCACCACGGTGGGCACATGAGTCGGTCGCGGCGGTGGTCGTTGAACGACCCGTTTAAGTAGAACTCCGGCAGGGTCATCCTGTCGGGTGAATCCCAACCCCAAAATGGCAACGCGAAGGTCTCGTTGCCGATCAGGCTCCCGAGGATCCTCTCGTGGAAGTAGAGGAATATCCGGTGGCCGGTGCCAAGGGAAGAAGAGCCAGTTCTTGTGGACCTGAACCGGGAAATCTGAGCCCTGCTGGAGAAACGACCCGGTGCAGTACTAGATGTGGATTTCAACCTGTTGGGTAAAGCTTCTCGGGTTGGAGTGCGACAGAGATTTCATGATGGAAAGCGCCTTCTCGTACTTGGCCATGTAGTCGTGTCGTCGAGCCGGTGAGCGAAGCGGCGGACCCGAATTGGGGTTGTTGCCGGGTCGGGGAACTCGAAGTCGGATATCGGGTCGTCTAGCATGGTTCGAGGCGGGCAGCAGTTGACCAGCTTCCCGGGTCGCCCGATTGCCGGGAGACACGATGATAAGTTGACAGCGAGGGGTTGGATATCGATTTTCCCATTCAGACTGGTAGGGACTAACCACCCAGTCAAACCGTCGGGTACAACCCGGTTTAGCTTCCTGAAAGTAAGTAAAGAAGAACAGAGTAATCAGAAACCATGGGGAACGTACCCAAGAATTTGAGTGTTGATTGCGGGAGGATCCAAGAAAAGAGAAGCACCGAGATTGCATGTGAGGCAGTGAGGTGATGAGTGAGAGAACCATTTCCGTGGATCCGTGAAATGTGAGGAAGAGGCCATAGACGATCTGCTGGTCACACTGTGATCTCTGCTGTCGGTGACTTGCCCATTAATAAGAAGACAATGTTGATGGAGAAAGAGAGGGAAAGAGATGAATTCATGTGATTCACGAGTCTGCAAATAATTGAGAGCTTAAAAGGTGTGAAATGGAGTATGTGGTGGCGTGGAGAAGGGAGGTGGTGGTTTGAACTCGACTGTACGATGGAGTTTGAGAAGGGACCTGGAGCGGAAGCCGGGTCTCCAGTATGAGGGCCAGAAGGTGAATAGATAATAGCAATGGCGAATTTATTGTGTTATAGTAATCCCGTTGTTTTTTCCACTTTTCTTCACCAAAGTGATGGGCAATGGCTCGTTCAACTTGGCATACCAGATTTTAAAAATGGATTTAAGAAATAAAGAATGTTTGGTAGCATCTTTCGGCAAGGGGAAACAGAAGAACGACTTCACATCTCGATAGCAGCATGGAGATTTACGAGAGCTGTAACGCTGCACATCTCGATGATGTTCCTATCCTCAACAGGCCTGTCCAAGAGCCCCGGTGTATCGATCACCTGATACCTCAGATACTTGTAGTCCGTATGCCCCACAAAGAGCGATTTCGTGGTGAAAGCATATGGCTGGACCTCCACATTAGCCCTAGTGATCTTGTTCAAGAAAGAGCTCTTCCCAACATTGGGGCACCCACAAATCAAGATCGTTGGAGCGCCCATGTTGATCGAGGGAAGCTTCACCATGTGCTGTCTGACATGTTCGAGGTAAGCCAAGCTCGACCCAATACGCTTGGTCACAGTACACACACGGCCAAGTGCAGCACGCTTCAATGACTTGCACCGGTAGAGCGAGTCCCCATATTTCAAGAGCTTCACATAGTCTTCGCGTATCCTCTTGATGAGATTTCTTGTTGTGTTGAGCTGCCCAAGTGCGAGTTTGTAGTGATCCTTGTTGTAGAGGACGTGAAGGAGGACGCCATAAAAGGGATGGATATCTTCTACTCGAGGGAAATCCTCAATGGTTTTCGAGAGCTTATCAGTGAAGTTGGTTTCGGTGAACTTCACCTTTCGCATGTAGAACTGGCGGACGCGGGAAATTGCATTCCCCTTGTGGATCACCATAGGGGTTTGGCGCTAAGTGCGAGAGAGAACGATGTCGATCAAGTGGTTACCACTTGGGACAACAGTGATCTTCTTGAAATCGTATTGAGCCATTTATCTGCAACAAGCAGAATGGATTTCAACCAACATGGCATCGAAAAGACATATATGATTTCAATGAAACGCACAGAGAATTATGGCACCAAAACTTCACCCTAGCCTTGTTATAGTAGCTTGATCATAAGAACACCGATCAACAAGATAATTCAGAACAACCAGATTGCAAGCAAATAATAAAATTTCCCACAACCGGTAACCTTATACTTTCACCATGAACACATCCAAACGTAATATTTTGCTCGACGAGACAAGAAAACATACAGGGTTTAGCGCATTCAAATTCAATAGCAGCCGATATAAAATATATGAAGCATGGAAAGGAGTCAGAACCTACAGTCTACAGAGGGAAATCTAACTTGAAAGACGAGAGCTTTTTCAAGAGAATAACTGAACTTTGTACCGGCGGTGATCGAAATCTATCACAGATAGCTACACAGCCTTTTCCTCTGCGATTTAAGAGAGTGAGTGCTGAAGAAATAACAGCGGCTTCGTTAGGTTTTACAAGTTTGGAGCTGCCGCGAATAAAAAAAATAGGCCCCTTTGTCCGACTCATGCCCGCTACGGCTGGGCCCATACTAATTTTTAAGTCAATCTATCTACATCTATCTACATCTCTCTACATATACATCTACATATATCTACATCTACATCTACATATACATCTATCTACATAAATATAAAGCGCTTTCTTGGAGAAAGCTTCCCCGCAAGTTTCAGATTTGTTTTTCAAGAGATGTAGATGTAACTTGAAAGACGAGAGCTTTTTCAAGAGAATAACTGACCTTTGTACCGGCGGTGATCGGAATCTATCACAGAAAGCTGCAAAGCCTTTTCCTATGCGATTTAAGGGAGTGAGTGCAGAAGAAAGAACAGCGGCTTCGTTAGGGTTTACAAGTTTGGAGCTGCCGCGATTAAAATAATTGGGCCCCTTTGTCCGACTCATGCCCGCTACGGCTGGGCCCATACTAATTTTTTTTTGTTAATCTATCTACATCTACATCTACATCTATCTACATACATATATTAAGCGCTTTCTTGGAGAAAGCTTCCCCGCAAGTTTCGGATTGGTTTTTCAAGAGATGTAGATGTAACTTGAAAGACGAGAGCTTTTTCAAGAGAATAACTGACATTTGTACTGGCGGTGATCGGAATCTATCACAGACAGCTACACAGCCTTTCCCTTTGCGATTTAAGGGAGTGAGTGCAGAAGAAAGAACAACGGCTTCGTTAGGTTTTACAAGTTTGCAGCTACCGCGATTAAAAAAATTGGGCCCCTTTGTCCGGCTCATGCCGGCTACGGCTTGGCCCATACTAATTTTTTTTTGTTAATCTATCTACATCTATATCTGCATCTACATCTGCATCTATATACATCTATCTACATCTACATACATGTACATCTACATCTACATCTACATCTACATCTACATCTACATCTACATCTACATCTATCTACTTCTACATCTACATACAACTACATCTACATCTACATCTATCTACATAAATATATTAAGCGCTTTCTTGGAGAAAGTTTCCCGCAAGTTTCGGATTGGTTTTTCTATTATTTATTTATTTTTCAAGATCTCCGTTGTAACGCTGCACATCTCGATGGTGTTCCTATCCTCAAGAGGCATGTCCAAGAGCCCCGGTGTATCGATCACCTGATACCTCAGATACTTGTAGTCCGTATGCCCCCACAAAGAGCGATTTCTTGGTGAAAGCATATGGCTGGACCTCCACATTAGCCCTGGTGATCTTGTTCAAGAAAGAGCTCTTCCCAACATTGGGGCACCCACAAATCAAGATCGTTGGAGCGCCCGTGTTGATCGAGAGAAGCTTCACCATGTGCTGTCTGACATGTTCGAGGTAAGCCAAGCTCGACCCAATACGCTTGGTCACAGTACACACACGGCCAAGTGCAGCACGCTCCAATGACTTGCACCAGTAGAGCGAGTCCCCATATTTCAAGAGCTTCACATAGTGTTCGCGTATCCTCTTGATGAGATTTCTTGCAGTGTTGAGCTGCCCAAGTGCGAGTTTGTAGTGATCCTTGTTGTAGAGGACGTGAAGGAGGTCGCCATAAAAGGGATGGATATCTTCTACTCGAGGGAAATCCTAAATGGTTTTCGAGAGCTTATCAGTGAAGTTGGTTTCGGTGAACTTCACCTTTCGCATGTAGAACTGGCGGACGCGAGAAATTGAATTCCCCTTGTGGTTCACCATAGGGGTTTGGCGCTAAGTGCGAGAGAGAACGATGTCGATCAAGTGGTTCCTACTTGGGACGACAATGATCTTCTTGAAATCGTATTGAGCCATTTATCTGCAACAAGCAGAATGGATTTCAACCAACATGGCATCGAACAGACATGTAAGATTTCAATGAAACGCACAGAGAATTATGGCACCAAAACTTCACCCTAGCCTTGGTATAGTAGCTTGATCATAAGAACACCGATCAACAAGATAATTCAGAACAACCAGATTGCAAGCAAATAATAAAATTTCCCACAACCGGTAACCTTATACTTTCACCATGAACACATCAAACGTAATATTTTGCTCGACGAGACAAGAAAACATACAGGGTTTAGCGTGTTCAAATTCAATAGCAGCCAATATAAAATATATGAAGCATGGAAAGGAGTCAGAACCTACAGTCTATAGAGGCAAATCTAACTTGAAAGACGAGAGCTTTTTCAAGAGAATAACTGAAATTTGTACCGGCGGTGTTCGAAATCTATCACAGACAGCTTTACAGCCTTTTCCTCTGCGATTTAAGGGAGTGAGTGCAGAAGAAAGAACAGCGGCTTCATTAGGTTTTACAAGTTTGGAGCTGCCGCGATTAAAAAATTGGGTCCCTTTGTCCGACTCATGCCCGCTACGGCTGGGCCCATACTAATTTTTTTTTGTTAATCTATCTACATCTACATCTATCTACATAAATATATTAAGCGCTTTCTTGGAGAAAGCTTCCCCGCAAGTTTCAGATTGGTTTTTCAAGAGATTGTAGATGTAACTTGAAAGACGAGAGCTTTTTCAAGCGAATAACTGACCTTTGTACCGGCGGTGATCGGAATCTATCACAGATAGCCACACAGCCTTTTCCTCTGCGATTTAAGGGAGTGAGTGCAGAAGAAAGAACAGCGGCTTCGTTAGGTTTTACAAGTTTGGAGCTGTCGCGGTTTAAAAAAATTGGGCCCCTTTGTCCGACTTATGCCGGCTGCGGCTAGGCCCATACTATTTTTTTTTTGTTAATCTATCTACATCTACATCTACATCTATCTACCTAAATATATTAAGCGCTTTCTTGGAGAAAGCTTCCCCGCAAGTTTCAGATTGGTTTTTCAAGAGATGTAGATGTAACTTGAAAGACGAGAGCTTTTTCAAGCGAATAACTGACCTTTGTACCGGCGGTGATCGGAATCTATCACAGATAGCTACACAGCCTTTTTCCTCTGCGATTTAAGGGAGTGAGTGCAGAAGAAAGAACAGCGGCTTCGTTAGGGTTTACAAGTTTGGAGCTGCCGCGATTAAAAAATTGAGCCCTTTTGTTCGACTCATGCCAGCTACCCCTGGGCTCATACTAATTTTTTTTTTGTTAATCTTTCTACATCTACATCTTCATCTATCTACATCTACATCTGCATCTATATACATCTATCTACATATACATCTACATACATCTACATCTATCTACATCTACATCTACATCTACATATATCTACATAAATATATTAAGCGCTTTCTTGGAGAAAGTTTCCCCGCAAGTTTCGGATTGGTTTTTCTATTATTTATTTATATTTTTCAACATCTCCGCTGTTTTAACCACCAAATCTAATCCTCTTTTTTTTTTGTTCGTGGGATTTATCTCTCATCAAGCCTATTCATTCTTCTTCTGCCTTCATTAAAAAAAAACCCTCATGTTGCTCCCGGACTTTTCCTACATAACCGCAATTTTGGTGGTTCTTTTCTTTTCAGTTTTCACCCATTCCTCCAAAAATAAAATTTTCTTTCTTCCCTTAGCGCCACACCATCATTCTCATCAAACACCATTAATGAATTCAGGGCCTCCTTGATCTCCCTAATGTGAAACAAGTCTCATCCACTTTGCTCTCCGCTCCGCGAAACCTGGAACTACAACGTTTACCAATGGACCGTCTGCCACCGGGCATCGAACAGACATATATGATTTCAGTGAAACGCACAGAGAATTATGGCACCAAAACTTCACCCTAGCTTGGTATAGTAGCATGATTATAAGAACACCGATCAACAAGATAATTTAGAATAACCAGATTGCAATAAAATAATAAAATTTCTCACAACCGGTAACCTTATACTTTCACCATGAACACATCCAAACGTAATATTTTGCTCTACGAGACAAGAAAACATACAGGGTTTAGCGCGTTCAAATTCAATAGCAGCCGATATAAAATATATGAAGCATGGAAAGGAGTCAGAACCTACAGTCTACAGAGACAAATCTAACTGAAAGACGAGAGCTTTTTGAAGAGAATAACTGACCATTGTACCTGCGGTGATCGGAATCTATCACAGACAGCTACACAACCTTTTTCTCTGCGATTTAAGGGAGTGAGTGCAGAAGAAAGAACAGCGGCTTCGTTAGGTTTTACAAATTTCGAGCTGCCGCGATTAAAAAAATTGGGCCCTTTTGTCCGACTCATTCCGGCTACGGCTGGGCTCATACTATTTTTTTTTGTTAATCTATCTACATCTATCTACATCTACATCTATATCTACATCTATCTCCATAAATATATTAAGCGCTTTCTTGGAGAAAGCTTCCCCGCAAGTTTTGGATTGGTTTTTCAAGAGATGTAGATGTAACTTGAAAGACGAGAGCTTTTTCAAGAGAATAACTGACCTTTGTACCGGCAGTGATCGGAATCTATCACAGACAGCTACACAGCCTTTTCCTCTACGATTTAAGGGAGTGAGTGCAGAAGAAAGAACAGCGGCTTCGTTAAGTTTTACAAGTTTGGAGCTGCCGCGGTTAAAAAAATTGGGCCCCTTTGTCTGACTTATGCCGGCTACGGCTGGGCCCATACTATTTTTTTTTGTTTTGTTAATCTATCTACATCGACATCTATCTACATCTACATCTATCTACATAAATATATTAAGCGCTTTCTTGGAGAAAGCTTCCCCGCAAGTTTCGAATTGGTTTTTCAAGAGATGTAGATGTAACTGGAAAGACGAGAGCTTTTTCAAGAGAATAACTGACCTTTGTACCGGCGGTGATCGGAATCTATCACAGACAGCTACACTGCCTTTTCCTCTGCGATTTAAGGGAGTGAGTGCAGAAGAAAGAACAGCGGCTTCGTTAGGTTTTACAAGCATGGAGCTGCCTCGATTAAAAAAATTGAGCCCCTTTGTCCGACTCATTCCCTCTACGGCTGAGCCCCTACTAATTTTTTTTTGTTAATCTATCTACATCTACATCTGCATCTATTTACTTCTATCTACATCTACATCTACATCTACATCTATCTACATCTACATCTACATCTACATCTACATACATCTACATCTACATCTATCTACATAAATATATTAATCGCTTTCTTGGAGAAAGCTTCCACGCAAGTTTCGGATTGGTTTTTCAAGAGATGAGATGTAACTTGTAAGACGAGAGCTTTTTCAAGAGAATAACTGACCTTTGTACTGGCGGTGATCGGAATCTATCACAGACAGCTACACAGCCTTTTCCTCTGCGATTTAAGGGAGTGAGTGCAGAAGAAAGAACAGCGGATTCGTTAGGATTTACAAGTTTGGAGGTGCTGCGATTAAAAAAATTGGGCCCCTTTGTCCGACTCATGCCGTCTACGGGTGGGCTCATACTAATTTTTTTTTTGTTTATCTATCTACATCTACATCTATATCTGCATCTATCTACATCTACATACATCTACATCTACATCTATCTACATAAATATATTAAGCGCTTTCTTGGAGAAAGTTTTCCCGCAAGTTTCGGATTGGTTTTTTCTATTATTTATTTATATTTTTCAACATCTCCGCTGTTTTAACCACCAAATCTAATCCTCTTTTTTTTGTTCGTGGGATTTATCTCTCATCATGCCTATTCATTCTTCTTCTGTCTTCTTTAAAAAAAACCCTCATCTTGCTCCCGGACTTTTCCTCCATAACCGCAATTTTGGTGGTTTTTTTCTTTTCAGTTTTCACCCGTTCCTCCAAAAATAAACTCTTCTTTCTTCCCTGAGCGCCACACCATCATTCTCATCAAACACCATTAATGAATTCCAGGGCCTCCTTGATCTCCCCAATGTGAAACAAGTCTCATCCACTTCGCTATCCGCTCCGCGAAACCTGGAACTACAAACGTTTAGCAATGCACCGTCTGCCACCGCGCATCGAATAGACATATATGATTTCAGTGAAACGCACAGAGAATTATGACACCAAAATTTCACCCTAGCCTTGGTATAGTAGCATGATCATAAGAACACCGATCAACAAGATAATTCAAAACAACCAGATTGCAAGCAAATAATAAAATTTTCCACAACCGGTAACCTTATACTTTCACCATGAACACATCCAAACGTAATATTTTGCTCGACGAGACAAGAAAACATACATGGTTTAGCGCGTTCAAATTCAATAGCAGCCGATATAAAATATATGAAGCATGGAAAGGAGTCAGAACCTACAGTCTACAGAGACAAATCTAACTTGAAAGACGAGAGCTTTTTGAAGAGAATAACTGACCATTGTACCTGCGGTGATCGGAATTTATCACAAACAGCTGCACAACCTTTTCCTCAGTGATTTAAGGGAGTGAGTGCAGAAGAAAGAACAGCGGCTTCATTAGGTTTTACAAGTTTGGCGCTGCCGCGATTAAAAAAATTTGGCCCCTTTGTCCGACTCATGCCCGCTACGGCTGGGCCCATACTAATTTTTTTTTTGTTAATCTATCTACATCTACATCTATCTACCTAAATATATTAAGCGCTTTCTTGGAGAAAGCTTCCCCGCAAGTTACAGATTAGTTTTTCAAGAGATGTAGATGTAACTTGAAAGACGAGAGCTTTTTCAAGCGAATAACTGACCCTTGTACCTGCGGTGATCGGAATCTATCACAGATAGCTACACAGCCTTTTCCTCTGCGATTTAAGGGAGTGAGTGCAGAAGAAAGAACAGCGGTTTCGTTAGGTTTTACAAGTGTGGAGCTGCCG